CCGCTGCACTGAAGCTGGGCAATCTGACAGCTAATCAGGAGTTCTGGACACTCCTTGTGAGTCTCATAGCCGCATATATTAGGATTTTTTTCGCAAAATATACTTAAATAAATAAATACATGTATATATTCATACATATTTGTTTCTTTATTGTACGACAAGTATGTATGAATATATACATGTATTTATTTAAGTATATTACACTCGCATACTCGTGTTTGAGCCAGTGTGTGTGCATGCTGCTGGTGCTGATTTGTTTCGCATGCAGGCAGTGTGCCTTTTCAACTGCATGTACCTGGCGGACTTCGTCTACACAGCGATATCTGATGTATGTGATGGGTTGAAGATAACCTGTTTCACTGTTCCCAAGACGGGGAGCCCGCACGGCCCCTCGAAATCGTCGAAAGAGACGAAGAAGGCAGACTAAATACAAACAACCCTCTTTTATAACTTTTCCTGCCTTCAAATAATTTTTGCAGATAGATACAACACTATGTACATTCATATACTCACTGCCGGACCGGTGCACACAACTACAAATACCTTTCGAACCTGAGTACTGTACTACTAGTACTAATCTAGGCGCTGCATTAACACTAAACCCTATACTAGCCTTGAGAGAAAAGACACTAGTCAGAGACATCTGCATAAATACCCTCACGCCTCCAACTTAATGCACAACCGAAGGCCCTCTTGTACCTCTCTTATAATACCCTGGAGTTCAACAGGGTACCTGCACCAACAGGGAATGGCGCTGTTCTGTGGTGTTATCCATCGTGCGTAGAGTCACGTCCACCGCAGTGCAGTGAAAAAAGCCCGACGAGCGGGGAAGAAGTAAAAGTGGTGGTTAGGTTACCGTGCAGCGTACTGACAGGGGGTAGAAGGAATATGGATTGCTTCATCCAGCCAACAATGACCCAGAGGTCACAGGTATGGCTCGTACGAAGCATTGCATTGCGAACACGAAGACCCAGTAACTCTGTAGTTCCTAATACGGGTCTGAAATTAGTTGCGCACGCAATTGAAAGGGAAAAGTTATGAGGAATGAATCCTGCCGTTTGGTTGTGCTCAGTGGCTCCGCTGGTTGTTATCGGTCCTGGATGCTGTCTAGTGTGACCGACTGGAACTACACTAGTTCGCGTGTAACAGGTGTTCTCTATGCCTAATCCTCCATCCACTATCGGTGTCTTTTCCCTCACGAACTCATCTAATAAAACTATAGCTGTACTGCGTGCTCACTACACCTACAGCAGCGGACACGGACGTCCAACACCCGTGGAGAGCATGGCAAATCGTTTCGCAACACGTGAACGTTCAACAAAGAGAAAAAGAGACATACCAAATACACCACAAAAACCTAAACAACCGATACAGCAAGAACCATCAAACACAAACACAATACAAGCAAAACATTTGCAAGAAGGCAAGAAGAAAG